CACATATTCACCAACATTCTCATGCAACATGGAAGAAAACCAGTCCAATATATTGATTTGGAAAGAAAAGAATGCCCCAAACCGCATGGCCAAAGGGAAAGAAAAAGGTCAGTCGAAGATCTTGATTCGAAAAGAGAGAAACGCCTTCGCCAGTATGGTCAAATCAGTGGTAACCAAATAAAACACTCTCAAGAAATATTCCTCCCAACTGATGGTAAACATCCAGAATCTGTTCTTGTCACTGGAAAGGCTGGCATCGGTAAAACACTGTTTTGTCAAAAGCTGATCAGAGACTGGGCTGACAACAAGTTATTTCAATCAATAGCAAATACCGACCTACCTGATTTTAAGTTCGCATACTTGCTCACGTTTCGTCTGCTTAATCTACTTGGAGACAGCCCTGTTACCTTGAAGGATATCTTAAACCGATCTTCAGTGCTAGATCACCACTCAGATATCGACGACTCTTTATCTGAGTACATTGTTGATCATCCGGAAGAGGTTTTGGTTATCATCGATGGGTATGACGAGTGTTTACAACGAGATTCCATCGCTAGTGATTCACATGAAGAGTACCCAAACAATGCGATTAAGAAAATGCCAGTAGGAGCAGTGTGTGCCAAGCTTATTAAAAGAAAAATACTCAGAGGTTCGGTTGTAATGATCACGTCAAGACCTGATGAATCTGACAAAATGAAAGACAAACACATTCATTTTGACAGATACGTTGAAATCACTGGATTTTCCGAGCCACAGGTTAAAGAATACATTGGAAAGTTTTTCAAAAACAGAGAAGGAATGAAAAATGCTGTACTTTACCACATTACAAAGAATGTCAATCTTGTTAGCTTTGCCCACATTCCTGTTCTATGTTTCCTGATGTGTTCTTATTTCGAATATACTCTGCAGCATTCAGATATCACAAATCCACTTCCGGTGAAAGCGAGTGACCTTTATGATGAAGTAGTCAAAATGTTCGTGCAAATACACGATAAAAACAAAAGACTCCCTCTTGAAGTGACTTTGGATGAATTATCAAAGCTGGCAGCTCAACTTCTTCGAGAGAGAAGGTAAATTTTCACTAAAGAGGATTTGAAAACACTTGACTTACAGGAGGTTGAAAGTCTGTGGTCTTCTTTATTGCGGTCCCCCTTCCAGAAAGTCTTTTTCTGCAACAACGAAATAGTTTTCTTTTACCCATCTGACTCTCCAAGAGTACCTAGCGGCAAGTTGGTTTGTAAAGGAGAGAAAAAATCCCTCCAAACATGTGTCTCCAGAAGTATATCAATATATGTCCAGTATTTTGTCAAGGCAAAAAGACGCCGTAGTGATGGAAAATTTACAAAGGAAATTGCCCCTTTAAGAAGAATTTCTACTCTTAGATATCTGCTTGTAATGTTTAAATGTCTCATGGAATACGAGGACGTGGAGTTTGCTAAAAGAATCGTAAAGAAACGTCACCATGACATATATGAACGACAAGGAAGTATTTTATTTTCTTGTAGCGAACTGACGGATGTGGACTGCACCGCTTTGTCTTTTCTTTTTCACGTTTTTGGCGCACTCGATGCAGAGGGAGAATCTGAAGTGAATGAAGGAAGCTCTAAAAGGAGAGCAAAATGGAAGCTCACCAAACTTGATCTGAGTTATAATCAGATCACCGATGCGGGTGTTGTCAGTCTATGTCAAGCATTACAGACACCAACATGTAAACTCACCACACTTAATCTGATGTCAAATCAGCTCACCGATGCCGGCGTTATCAGTCTATGTCAAGCATTACATACACCAACATGTACACTCACCACACTTCATCTGAATGCAAATCAGATCACCAATGGCGGTGTTGTCAGTCTATGTCAAGCATTACAGACACCAACTTGTAAACTCACCACACTTGATCTGAGTCACCATCAGATCACCGATGCCGGTGTTGTCAGTCTGTGTCAAGTATTACAGACACCAACATGTGAACTCACCACACTTTTTCTGAGGTGTCTTGGTAACTTTGACCAGATGAG